GTTTTTAATTTACTAAAGAGCATGACAGAATGTTTATCTCCTCAAAGTCTCTGTCTGGTTCCAGTTGTTTTGCTATTTTCTTGTTATTAGACAGGTTTACTAGTAGGTGCTTGATCATACGGGTCAGATTCCTGATGGGACCACCACCTCTGGATATAAAGCACCAGAACAAGTCAGCCTTAAGAGCTTCCAGCTCGTTCCCCTCAAGGGACCACCAGCTTGTGGTTAATGTCTTATATTTTCACTCTTAATCACACAATAGAAGTAAAGTTGCATTTCCCCAATGTAACAGTCCTGCTCTTTAGTAAACAGAGGTGTGTTTGATGTCGCAGGTGGGACACAGAGACTTTGATGTGGAGAAGAAGCTGAGGAGAGACCTGAAGAGAACTCACGCTCTGCTGGCTGACGCCCAGTTGCTGCTGGCCACCATCGACAGCTCGGGCCAGAACCTTCCAAATGGCAGCAAAGACCAGCTAGAACGTCTGCACTGCCAGGTTTGTTCACCGTCATATGAAACTTTACCTCCATCAGAGCAGAACTCTGAGCGAAACGGTCCTCTGCCCGCTATGATTCTGTTCAGCTTGAGGAGAGTGAGGCGAGGCAGCTAGAGGCCGAGAACATACAGAAAACTCTCTCCCAGGAGCTGGAGAACACTCAGGTGGAACTGGAGAATCTCTGCAAGCAGAAGAGTGTGGTGAGTGTGACTTCTTGCTGGTGCACGGCCTGAATAAATGAGTGATGTGCTTGGGATTGTGAAAAGTTACGTGCATGTGGGAGGAAACATTAAACTGCAGATCTGATTCACTTCATCTTCACATTTTAAAGGGGAAAAAAATCATCCTTCTACTATTTAAATGGTCTTGATCAATATTTATTCAAGTCTTTTAAAAGGTTTGTTTTTGTATTTTGGATGCTTTTATCTGTATATAATTTTTACATACCATTATCAGAGGAAACGTTTTTGTTTTTAAAGCCTCAGAACACTCACCTACAAATATTTAACCACAAAAATGTTTACATTTTTGTAATTCCGTCAAAATCTTGAAAGCATTCATAAATACGATGTAGAGAACAACACAAACAGATCTTTTTCCTTCCCACAGACGTAGCAGGATCCTTAATGAATTTATATACAGTATTTGTACCAATTCATGAGTGATGTCAAAGGAATCACCACTTTTATGTGATGGGAGGGTTTGAGTATATCTGAACCTGAGGGTGGTGTTGGCGGAGGAGGGTGGTAGACCTATCCCAGAAAGAGACATACAGGTCCTTCTCAACAAATTATCATATTGTGAAAAAGTTCATTATTGTCTGTAATGTACTGATAAACATTATACTTTCATATATATTAGATTCATTACACACAACTGAAGTAGTTCAAGCCTTTAACTGTTTCTAATATTGATGATTCTGGCATACAGCCCATGAAAACCCAAAATTCCCATCTCAAAAAATTTACATATTTCATCCGACCAATAAAAGAAAAGTGTTTTTAATACAAAAACAGTCAACCTTCAAATATTTTTGTTCAGTTATGCACTCAGTACTTGGTTGGGAATCCTTTTGCAGAAATGACTGCTTCAAGGCGGCGTGGCATGGAGGCAATCAGCCTGAGGCACTGCTGAGGTGTTATGGAGGCCCAGGATGCTTCGATAGCGGCCTTAAGCTCATCCAGAGTGTTGGGTCTTGTGTCTCTTAACTTTCTCTTCACAATATCCCACAGATTCTCTATGGGGTTCAGGTCAGGAGAGTTGGCAGGCCAATTGAGCACAGTAATACCATGGTCAGTAAACCATTTACCAGTGGGTTTTGGCACTGTGAGCAGGTGCCAGGTCGTGCTGAAAAATGAAATATTCATCTCCATAAAGCTTTTCAGCAGATGGAAGCATGGAGTGCTCCAAAATCTCCTGATAGCTAGCTGCATTGACCCTGCCCTTGATAAAACACAGTGGACCAACACCAGCAGCTGACATGGCACCCCAGACCATCACTGACTGTGGGTACATGACACTGGACTTCAGGCATTTTGGCATTTCCCTCTGCCCAGTCTTCCTCCAGACTCTGGCACCTTGGTTTCCGAGTGACATGCAAAATTTACTTTCATCCGAAAAAAGTACTTTGGACCACTGAGCAACAGTCCAGTGCTGCCTCTCTGTAGCCCAGGTCAGGAGCTTCTGCCGCTGTTTCTGGTTCAAAAGTGGCTTGACCTGGGGCATGCAGCACCTGTAACCCATTTCCTGCACACGCCCATACATGGTGGCTCTGGATGTTTCTACTCTAGACTCAGTCCACTGCTTCCGCAGGTCCCCCAAGGTCTGGAATCGATCCTTCTCCACAACCTTCCTCAGGGTCCGGTCACCTCTTCTCGTTGTGCAGCGTTTTCTGTCACACTTTTTCCTTCCCACAGACTTCCCACTGAGGTGCCTTGATACAGCACTCTGGGAGCAGCCTATTTGTTCAGAAATTTCTTTCTGTGTCTTACCCTCTTGCTTGAGGGTGTCAATGATGGCCTTCTGATCAGCAGACAGGTCAGCAGTCCCACCCATGATTGCGGTTTTGAGTACTGAACCAGGCTGGGAGTTTTTAAAAGCCTCAGGAATCTTTTGCAGGTGTTTAGAGTTAATTAGTTGATTCAGATGATTAGGTTAAAAGCTTGTTTAGAGAACCTTTTCATGATATGCAAATTTTTGAGATAGGAATTTGGGGTTTTCATGAGCTGTGTGCCCAAATCATCAATATTAGAAACAATAAAAGGCTTGAGCTACTTCAGTTGTGTGTAATGAATCTAATATATATGAAAGTCTAATGTTTATCAGTACATTACAGAAAATAATGAACTTTATCACAATATGCAAATTATTTGAGAAGGACCTGTATAAGAAAATGCTGATTCACTAAAATATCACAATATATCATATTATGATATGAACTGATATTTAAAGGGGAACTTGGCAGTTTTGGCTTGATTTAGCACCCCCTCATGTCCATTTGTAGAACCAAAAGCAAAACCTATCTTGTCTTTTTAACACAAACAACTGAAACATCTTCCAGCCTTCATTAGTGTCTACAGGAGGGATTCATCGCTAAAATAAACAAATCAGCTGTGCTCATGATCTAAAACATGCAGGAAAGGTGCTGGAATCAGACTGCATCCCCAGGTATGTCAGCTCATTTTTCTTACAAGTCCCAACAGAGCGACCTGCCAGTCTGAAGTTGCAAGTGGGATATTCTGGCCACAGGGGGCGATAGGAGCTGTGTGACCTTTCATTAACCCTGTAAGAGTCATTTTAGCACATATTAGCTCAAGAAAATTATTTAAAAATATGACAAAGTTGCACAGTGTCCCTTTAAAAGCAGTGCATTGATTATTTGTTGAGAACGTGCATGCAAACATTTACTGATTGTCTCTTGTGTGGTGTAATTCAAACTCAGACTGCTAGGTGGCAGCAGTTTTTACAGCTTTCATTCTGATGGAAAAACGAGATCTCCCGATAACACTGGGTGTGTCCTGGAACCGTCTGGCCTGAGTTTTCTGATTAAATTCGGACTTAAAAATTGCAAGTATCGTCTGGCTTCAAGTGTCGTAATGTAATACTCCGTCTCCCCTGTTTGGTGATACACATTGTATCACCAGATTCTTGCCATACATACCCCTAGAAGACACCAATCCCAGTAATCCGATCAATATATCATATCTAGAGCTGAAGATAGAGCCTGGACACTTGTAAAAGACAGATGTATGCCAATGGTAACCAGTGAAACCAGTAGATCCTGCTTACAGGGTCAGGTCTTTGCTTTTGTAGAGCAGTAGAGGTGGATATGAGACTGTTATTGGCTCATCTACGTGGAGAAGGCTTGTGACTGGGCCCATTAAGGAGTCATGGGGTGTCATGATGGTTGTACAGGGCTATCTTGTATGAGATGTGTGCAGAGAGTTAGTGTTAGATACAAGATGGGACTTCACTTCATCAGAGCTGCATTTGTCTCCTGTTTGTGGTGTTCATGGACACGATCTGAAGATGCAACGTTGGAGAGGAGCGTATCTGTTTTTGGAACCGTTGTGGTTCTGTCGAGGATTTCAGTCATAATAAAGCTGTGTCATGAGCCAGTTCTCCGTTTGTGAATGTAGGTGGATGAACAGCTGGTCCTACTGCAGCATGAGAAGGTCGACCTGCTGAAGAGGCTGGAGGAGGATCAGGAAGACCTCAACGAGCTGATGAAGAAACACAAAGCACTTATTGCTCAGGTATTAGTTCCACTTGTTGTCTTCTTAATCACCTGATCTCTTCCTGCTCATCCGTAGCACCAACAGTCACACTGTGTCCCTTCAGTCCTCCAGCGATATTTCTCAGATCAGGGACCTGCAGACTGAACTGGAGGAGGCGAAGAAACAGAGACAGTCGCTCCAAGAGGAGGTAACTGCTGTTTGACAAGTAGAAAATAAACGCAGCTGAGAGCTTTATGAGCTGAATGCATTGTTGAAAGTTCTAGAGATGAGGGTTTAACGGTTTTCTGGATCATTGAATCTCGTTGTTGCACATCTTAATGTAACCTCGGGCTGCAGGTGGAGCCCCGTCACGCTCACTGATATCTCTGAGTAGAATGGAAATTCATTTGTCTCATGCTGCTCTCCTCCTCCTCCTCCTCCTCCAGCTCCAGCAGTATGTGTCGAGGGTGCAGTTCCTGGAATCGTCCACTGTGGGGCGCAGCATTGTCAGTAAACAGGAGGCCCGTGTGTGTGACCTGGAAAATAAATTAGAGTTTCAGAGAGGGCAAGTCAAGAGGTTTGAGGTGAGATCAGATAATGAATTTTCAATTTCAACACATAATTATTACCACATCTTATACAGTAATCCCTGCTTTCCTTTATCTCGGTTTTGACCCAGTTTTCTGTGATGTGCAGGTGCTGGTGCTGCGTCTGCGGGACAGCGTGGTGCGTCTCGGAGAAGAGCTGGAGCAGAGCACGCAGGCTGAAACTCGGGAAAGAGAGAACGCTCGCTACTACCAGCAGCGCCTGCAGGAGATGAGGGTGGAGATGGAGGAGCTGAGCCAGAGGGAGCAGGAGAGCAGCCGCAGACGCAAAGAGCTGGTAAGGAATGGGACAGCTCAGCAGCATCACGTTTCTAATACAAGCCGCTTGAAACTAACTTTAATGCATATTTGAATGCAAACAAAAACAAACATCACTGACCATCTTTAATCCCTTATTGGAGCAGTTTAAATGTTTGAAAACCTTTGTAATCATAACATCGATCAATGATGGATGTGGACTTTGAGACACAACTCGGCAGGAGAAGCTTGAGGAGTTTGGGTTTTGAGTCAAGATTAATCGATAACTGAACTGACCTGATTCTGTACCACAATGAATCAGGTGGGGTTCATATATCTTTACCTCCATTCTGTAAACAGGAAGCTAATGTAAAGGTTTTGGGAGGGTTAGCGTGTCTATTTTTCATAGTAGAAGAAATTAAATCCAAAAGAAAATGCAGAAACAGTTAGGATGTGTTTGAAATGGTCTCCCTCTTTTTTTTTATTTTTATTCTTTTTTACTTTTTTTAGCTTTTTTCACATCTCAAACTTGCAGATTACACATCATAAAAGCATTGATCAGAATCAGTACAGGTGAGTTTCTGCAGAGGATCAGAGGATTGTAGGGAGATTGTTCACTTACACAGATCACATGTTTATTTTTCTCATTGTTTCAGTAAATGTCTATTTTATTAAAGCTGCTTTTGCCTGTGATCGTGCTTTATTCGTTAAATACCTCTGACACAACCACAGTGGACGGTTATGATAAATGACCCAACAGTGTTTATAAATGCTGTTTTAAACACTGTTTGTGAATTCTATTGAAAAACAGCAACTCAAGGCTGCCACACGCATTGTTACCAGTGACATAAATATTGAGACTTTACTTCAAAATTAATTAGAAATCAAATTAGATGCAGTAACATTACATCTCTGCTTGCTGCAGTTTGAGTGTTTGTGTTTATATACTTCCCCTTATTTGAATGAGGCCAGCTGGAGTATATGGATCCTGGTTGGGTGTCACTTCTGTTCACAGCAGTGCTTTTAGAGACTATAATACTCTTTGTCAAGTACCAACTGTTGTTTAAAACCATGTTTATAAAGCAGATTGCTGATGTTAGGACCCTAGACAAACCTGGTTATCTGCACAGAAAAGATGTCTCCCTACACTTTGATCCTCACTGGTTTTAATAACGTCAGTAAACATATTGTACTGTTGTGTCGTCTATGAGTCTGTGTGGTACAGAAAAAATAGAACAAAAGAGCAAAACAATGAAAGTATTGGACTGAGATTTTGTTTAGATTCTGACTGAGACATCGCTGGTTTGGTTGCAGCATTTAAAACCATTTAAAGGCCAAAGTTTAATCTTATTTTCACCTCCTCCTACTTATAATGCTTTCATGGTTTACGTTTCAGACACCAAATGCACTTTTAGCACGATGAACAAACAATCACCCCCATGTTTCGGTATTGAACAGTCTGTTTACATCCTTCTTATCATCTCAGGACGCCTCAACTCTTTCATGTTCTAATGCTTTTCTCCCATCGTCGTTAGATTAGATGACAGCACGCTGCCCAGACATGCTGGTCTGCTCCTCACTTCCTGAGGTGGCTTCTCTTCCACATGCAGACACATCACCAGGCACTCTGCTGCAGTACCTGGGCAGCACATCAGCTGCTAAATATAAACCACCAACAGGCTATACTCATACCCAGGCTGTGAGGCAGCGTTTTAGAGGCTCACTGGCAGGGAACTATTCCTCCAGGCGATGATTGGAAGTAATGCCACACTTCCATATCAGCCACTTCTCTGCTGTTGTCATTAACAGAAACAGCAGAGATCATTAGAAACATATCATTAGTAAAGACAGCAATAGTTTTACACACTCACAGAACTTCAACATGTAAAACAATAATTTTCTTTTTTGTCTGTAGAGAGATAATGAACCTAATTCATCCAGTTAAAATGGACCACACTCAGTTGGTTGGTGTAAAATTTTGAACAATTAATGAGCATCAGACCCACGTGACCGCAGAGCTAGCTCGATGAAAAGGCCTCAGCCTGAGCCTCGGCCTAGCCTGAAAACTGTTCCGTAATTTTCAGTCTCTCAACTTAGACCGTTAGTTGTAGGGTTTGTGCGTTTATTACTTTATTTATTTGGATATTATTTGTGCAATTGTTGGACAAAATGACTTGCTGTGGCATTAATTGCACTAATAGAGCGTCCAAGGAGTCTCCACTTCATTTTTTTCGGTAAGTAAAATTATATTTATGTATTTTAGATCACTGCCGAGCTGAGCTTAGATTTTAACATGTACTGTTTAACCATGAAATTTAAATGTAATAGGGTAAAACCCAGTGCATTTAACATAATGCTGCACTTTAGAAAATGGGTAGAAATATAACATGTTGGTGGAGCTGGGTTCCGACTATCGGTATGGCCCCTTCCCTCAGTTGTCTGCTGCGCGGGCTGCCGGCTTGTGGAGCTCATGGATGGAAACCAATGTTTTCCACTCGGTTCTCCCCAGCAGCAGCTCAATGCATCTCAGATCGCAGCGGCGCTTGTCTGCTGTGCGGTTGCTGGCTTGTGGAGGTCTCGGAGACCTCTGTGTTCCACCCGGTTTTACCCAGCGGTCAGCCCGGCGTATCTCTGACTCAGAAGCTCTGGTGTTGTGCACAGTTAACTCCGGTTGTAACTAGGTTGCTACCTCCATTAGCTTAGCTCCCACCTCCGCGTTAGCTTTGGGTTAGCTTGTAGCTCCATCGCTTCAGTTTGACGGGTGTCATCAGTTGATCCCAGCCTTACAGCCCCACCCTCAGCTCCACCTCTTTTCCCTTTTGTGGAATTGTCTGGGCTTGACGGAATCTGTGACACGGTCAAAATGGCGGTGGTGGGAACCTCCCATTTTGGCTTAAAAACGTATTATTGGAGCCTATGGAAATAAATTGTCCAGTGTATATGTCAATGGTGCGTACACGCGCTTGTATTTGTAAGGTTTCTCTATAGGAGCGTCCAATAGAGAGTGTGAGGGGCCACAGATCTGCCCCCCAAAGATGTGTAGGAGATGGAGGGATCTCCAAGTCCCAGAGATCCAGGAGCTGCCCTGGAGCGCAGGGACCCCAGGGAGATTGTAACCAGAAAAGCCCCAGCCCTCTCTCGAGAGGCACAGAGGATTCCCCTGGGGCAGAACAAGGCACCACACTTCACACCAAATGTGGCACGGGGAGGGCAGGCGAAGATATGTAGTAGCACAAGAAGTCCCAGGAGAGGGGAGGAGTCCAAGACCCCACCTGACATATACAGACACAGTCACACTCCCTCCCTCATGCTCACACATACACATACAAGTTAAGACTTACAAAAATGAACGCTAGACACCCGCTCACGCTCCCCATACACACCCTATTCAGTCTGGTCCCGGTACTGCTGCACAAAGGGTACAACCATCACCGGTTCCCAGAGTTTGCCCCTTTCTGCTGGGGTGCTGATGAGCACGCGACCTCGACCAACGCTGAGCAAAGCATCCCACCACCCCAGACCCCAACCAGACGGCCAGCTCCACCTCCTAGCTATCAGTGATTGTTTACTATACGTGTTGCTATAAGCTAACTGAAAGAATGCCAACACAAAAGGGTGCATGTCATCACCTACCATAACGGAGTGGAACACACTTTAATCGAGAGTTTGGTTTTCTAACGTATACATTAGAATAAAAGCTTCCAGTTTACTGCCTTACATTGACCGAGATTGACTTGATGATATACATGAAATCTAAAATGTAAAATTTGTTTTCTTAACACACCGTTAGACCTTTTTGTCTATTCTGAGTTCAGAAAAAGAAGGATCTTCAACAATCATTCAGTTATTAGTGCTAAGTGATTCACACACACACACACACACACACACACACACACACACACACACACACACACACACACACACACACACACACACACACACACACACACACACACACGCACGCACGCACGCACACACACACAGAATCTTGTATTTCTATCCATATTAGGATTTTGTACTGACTTCCATTTTAATAACTGAATTCATGCCTGACCCAAACCCTTACCCTAACCCTAACCATAACCAGTGTATTCCTAAACTTAACTGTAACAAAAACTCAATTCACATTTTATGTGTAAACCTCACCCTTAAGCCTACAGTGGTGTGACAAACTATTTGCTCCTTCCTGATTTCTTATTCTTTTGCATGTTTGTCACACAAAATGTTTCTGATCATCAAACACATTTAACCATTAGTCAAAGATAACACAAGTAAACACAAAATGCAGTTGTGAAATGATGGTTTTATTATTTAGGGAGAGAACAAAATCCAAACCTACATTGCCCTGTGTGAAAAAGGAATTTACCCCCTGAACCTAATAACTGGTTGGGTCTCCCTTAGCAGCAATAACTGCAATCAAGCATTTGCGATAACTTGCTACGAGTCTTTTACAGCGCTCTGGAGGAATTTTGGCCCACTCATCTTTGCAGAATTGTTGTAATTCAGCTTTATTTGAGGGTTTTCTAGCACGAACCGCCTTTTAAGGTCATGCCATAGCATCTCAATAGGATTCAGATCAGGACTTGACTAGGCCACTCCAAAGTCTTCATTTTGTTGTTCTTCAGCCAGTCAGAGGTGGATTTGCTGGTGTGTTTTGGGTCATTGTCCTGCTGCAGCACCCAAGATTGCTTCAGCTTTAGTTAACAGATGGCCAGACATTCTCCTTCAGGATGTTTTGGTAGACAGTAGAATTCATGGTTCCATTTATCACAGCAAGCCTTCCAGTTCCTGAAGCAGCAAAACAACCCCAGACCATCACACTACCACCGCCATATTTTACTGTTGGTATGATGTTCTTTGTCTGAAATGCTGTGTTACTTCTACGCCTGATGTAACGGGACGTTTGCCTTCCAAAAAGTTCAACTTTTGTCTCATCAGTCCACAAGTTATTTTCCCAAAAGTCTTGTGTGTCAGGCAGCTCATGTTTAAGTGATTTCTTGATTGAAACAGGTGTGGCAGTAATCAGGCTTGGGGGTGGCTACAGAAATGGAACTCGGGTGTGAAACACCACAGTTTGGTTATTTTTTAACAAGGGGGGGCAATTACTTTTTCACACAGGGCAATGTAGGTTTGGATTTTGTTCTCTCCGTAAATAATAAAAACCATCATTTCACAACTGCATTTTGTGTTTACTTGTGTTATCTTTGACTAATGGTTAAATGTGTTTGATGACCAGAAACATTTTGTGTGACAAACATGCAAAAGAATAAGAAATCAGGAAGGGGCAAATAGTTTGTCACACCACTATAAAACGGGGACTATTATTATTATTAACCACCATGGATCTAAATCCCCTTTTACCAAAACAGGTTCAAACAGTAATATGTAACATAACTCTAAAGAGCACAATATCAAAGTTCTAAGTGGGAGACAACAGACCAGAGGAAAGGCAGCTCTGCACTATTGTCCCCCATTGGTGAGGAGCTCCAGCTGGTCCTTTAAACAATTTGCGGCTGATGAAAACCCAGCTCAGCTGGTGCAGGGAGGAGCAAGGGTGAGCCAACAGGCCATAGTCTGCAGGCAGGCTCCTCAGATGCAACATAAAAATGCACAGAAAAATGAAATCACAACACAAAAAGGCTCCAGCCGTAACATCCACCATATTAGGACTGGATTTTGTTCCTAATGTGGACCATCGGTCTTCAGAAAATGAGTGATTATGACCTTTCTGGTCCTAAGTAGGATAGCTGTACACACACACACAATCATCCTGCTCCCACTTACTCAGCTCCATTCTTAACATCATCTCTTCATTCTGCCTCCTCTCTCTGACCGTGATTAATTCTCATTGTCCCTTCAAGGTTACAGACATGCACACACACACACACACACACACACACACACACACACACACACACACACACACACACACACACACACACACACACACACACACACACACAGGCGCACACACACACACACACACACACACACACACACACACACACATGCTTATGAGTATCTATGACAACCACTGCAGTCCCACAACAGTCTATTCAAAGCCAATAACTTTGAAAGCTTAGAAGTGTTGCTGTGTGTGTATGTATGTTTACAGGCATGTGACAGGATGTTAAAGAGACAGGATTAAAAAACAAAAACACCAAGGCAAGATGAATTAATAATTCACTGTTAGTGCTTATTCATGCACCATTTTTCTTCTAAATAAACTGAGAAAGCTGCTACTTTCACCACTGTGTGTGTGTGTGTGAGAGAGAGAGAGAGAGAGAGAGAGAGAGAGAGAGAGAGAGAGAGAGAGAGAGAGAGAGAGAGAGAGAGAGAGAACATTCAGAGTTTGACTGACGAGGTAATACGGGCCCCACTGAAGGTAATTGCTGAGACAGATTGGGCCCCAGGGTCGTTACAGGTTGCTGTGAGATAGAAACACAGCTGACCTGTTGAAGGTGAATGTCTCATGTCTGCAAACGTCCTTTAATCTGACTTGTTCACAGGAAATGCAGGTGGAGGAGCTGTCCGCTGTCAGGCAGACGCTACAGGCCGATCTGGAGACATCCATTCGTCGTATCGTTGATCTGCAGGCCGCCCTGGAGGAGGTGGAATCGAGCAATGACAGTGATACAGAAAGGTAGTCACACCAGTGAGAATTTTGTTTTTGATTATATTGCCATTCCTATATTTTCACACTCTGATCAATCTGCTCCTAAATCCAGTGTTCGAACTGCTGTGGAGTCCTTTACTCGAAAGAAAGACCTGTAAGAGCTCATGACTGTGTGTGGGGTAGTAGTGTTTGGATGTGCTTCACAGGCTTGTGGATCATGTGACCCAAACATCAGCTCTTTATTAGTCTTCATAAGGAATTTGTAGAACGAAGACGTTTTTAGTGAATAGTTTTGATTATAAATTCATTGATCATCGTCGTACTGAAGCAGCTGCACAGTCTTGCCTCATTGACCCAAACTAAGAGCTGTGTTGGTCCCCAGGACTATAAATTCGGTCTGAAACTTCTAATAATATCTTTTGTTTGGCTGCATGGTGGCACAGTTTGAAGCACTGTTGCTCCAAAACAAGAGGGCTGCAGGTTTGAATCCCAGCTGCAGATGTGCTGCTTGGAGTCAGCATGTTCTCCCCATGCATGTGCCTGTAATCGCCAGGTACTCCACAGACCTACAATTGTTACTTTGCATAAATGCGTCTACAAAATGAGTAAACATGAATTACCTAAAGCTCAAGTTGTTTAGGGCTGTAGGGTTGGACATCAGACAGGTCAGATGTATACAGAGTAACCTGCTAAGCCCTAAGTTAGCATCATGATTTTGATGCTAATGGACCCTAAGCCATGCTGTCTAGGACAGACAGAAAAAGTGGGGGTGTTGAACATCCTCATTAGAAATCATGTACACCCACATCCCCACGGGTGCAACGGCCTCTACTATGAGAGTTCAAAGATGATTATAAATGTTAGAACATCCCAAAATATTTCATAGAGAATTCCGTGGGCCAAAATCATTTGTGTTATTCCAGGTCTTTCTGACTGCGTGCTAGATTCCATGTAGGATACACCCCCCACCCCCAATAAGTTCCTTTTGTCTGGACGTTTTAAGTCTTATTACCACCTTAGGCCAATTGTGGTTTACGTATGTCAGCTGAATCCTTCAGTTTGTTTTCTGTCAGATTGTTATACTCTGGTGAGTATAATGTTTTACTGTGAGTTGTGGAAACTAAATTTATTCCACGCCACCAAAATTATCTTCTACTGGGAGCCAAATCAAAGGGCTGTGAGCATGGCTACAATTCATGTGCCACTGCAGAACCATAGCTGTAAAAAAAGCTGTAGTTGGAAAGTTAAATAGATGTCAGGCATTCTCAGTAAATTTAGAGATTTTCATTAGTGAGCAGTTTTAAGCAAAATAATGCAAGGGAACCAAAAATAAAACACTGACCCAAGTTTTAAATGTACCCAGAGGCCTTTCTTACACAGAAGCCTTAAAATCATTAAATGTTATCTTGCTGCATGTGCTCTGTAGCCACAACTGCAGCGGGAAGAGCTGTAGGTGAGTCCGTGAGTTAACACACGACTTTCATCCTGCAGTGACTCTGTTTCCAGTGTTGGCTCTGTGGGAACAGAGGATGTTGGGGAGGGGATTCGTCACTGGTCAGGAGCACAGAGAGCAGGATCCCGCAGTGCAGGCTCCACCTACAGCAGCCAAGATGGCCGTCGGTCTGTCAGTGACACCATGAGCTCCTACAGCTTCCGGTGAGTCTGATAACTCACATTTATCCTGGTGTACAGCTTCTGACTAAAGTACCAAATCATCACTTTTACAGGGGAATTTTTCTCTTTATTTTAGAGAATATAAGAATGAGATGAATCATTATTATTTTTATACCTATATTTTGTAGACTTCAAATGCAGCAAAGAATAAGGCAGCCTACAGAATAGTCCAGAAAATTCCAACCAGCTCCAGTGGAGTTCAGTGATGAGTTGCATTATCTTCCATGTGAATGATGCTGCATGCACACAGAAAACCAAATACATCTGCATTCAATGTGTGCCAACACTGTGCCCTGGACGCTTTGCAAACTTTCATACAGCCTAGGTGTGATGGACATAGAATTGTAAAATGTCAGTTTGTGTTTTCTTCCAGCATGCTAGGGGTTAGGTAATATAGAACTGTGGAGCCTCTATAATGTTTCTCCTGTCGGAGATAGTTTGACACATTCAGGTGTAAGATTCACAGTTATGAGTGTCATTGTTTAGTTATTCAGGCCCAAACATTGCACCTATACAGTGTTGAAGTTTCCCAAAAAAAATGTTGAAATATTTTCCCAAGCATAACATTCTATTTACAATAGAACACAAGGTAGTTTATTTTTACAGTAAGTTCACAATGTTTACTGTCGAGTGCTCAAGTGCTTGTAGTCCAGCGGAGTGGACGTGTCTATAACTTTATGAAAAAAAAAAAAACTGTTTTGGGAGAAAATATTTGAACAGTTTTTTTCACCTCCTGAAAAGAATAAAAGCACTTCAGAAAAAATCTTGACCAAAACTTTCATAATTCATTCATAACTTACATTTCCTTAAATATTTCTGAATGCTTGAATTATTGCATTTCTGGAGTTTGCCAATGTATTTTTAATCAGCCTAGTTCCATCTTATGCAGCTGTTAACAAATCCTATTTGTTATGAAATCAAAAGCCACAATAATTTATAATCTGAAAAAATTCCAAAATCTAAACAAAAAGAGATACTAAGCAGTTTTGCTTGTCTTTAGCACCCCCTAGTGTCCATTATAAAATTTTGTGGTCAAAGCAAGAATGAAGCTTCTCTGCTGTGCGTTCAGCTTTTTAACATCTTAATCTCACCGCTGAAATGTCTCCCCAGCCTTCATAAGTGTCTACAGGAACGGTTCATCACTAAATGAAACAAATCAGCTGTGTTCATGATCTGAAACGGGTCTCCAACCTCTTTTGGCCCGTGAGCTACTTTTACACAATGAAAGTACCGAAGTGCTACTGCTATACGATTTATTCACATTGATACTTTCCTTGTGTGAATATGCTTACTATGTTAAAAAATGCTACACTTACTATATAAACATGCACTGTATTCACAAGTTGATTTCAAGACATCCATATTATAAAAAAACAAGGAAAATGTTGACATTCTGAAAATCTAATCAAACAAAACATAACGTTTTGTTTATTAACTAATCAGATACTTTGAGATACTGAAATACAAAACTACTTTGTGTGAATGCTCTGACACATTTTAGAAGGGATCAGTAACCTTTTGAGCACACAGGAGCAGCGACCCTGTTCAGTCCCTGACCCTGTGCTCCTCCCAGAGCCTAGCCTAGTTTTTCATAGTGTTCAGCTGTTTGTCATTAATGAACAGATACTTCCAAAAGTTATAGAATTTTTTTTAAAACATTAAATGTTCTTTAAAAGACAATTAATGCAAAACCTTTCAATGGATTGTTTTATGATTATTTTTTTTCCAAACAATGCAAAACAAATTTTCTCATAAAAAAATCAAGCTGAATATATTTAAATAAAATACAAGCTAAATGTGATGAAAACACAACATTCTTAATAGTTTGAACTGAAGTGAAAAATGTAAAAACAGACGAAAACATTTCTTCCTGCTTTCCTGGTTTATTAAATCGTTTTTATGGGTTTTTTTGCTCATGAAATATAAGCTTTGCTTCACTATTAAATAACTGGAGGTAAATTATACTTGTATGTGTTTATTGTTGGCAATATTTTTGCTGTCATAATATTTTTTAACCTTCTGCCTACATCAGATTAAAAAAACGGGTGGTAGGAATTCAGAGTGAAAGTTCCAGGTTTCCTGTAGTAGGTGTGGTCTGGTTTATCTCTGCAGGTCGGACACAGAGAGCAAAGAGAGAGAGCAAGAAAGAGTTTTCACAGTCATGTTTTATTACCTTATGAGAAAAATCAGCTGAAACTGAAATTTGTTTAAACTAAATTACAGGAGATGTCCATAGTTTGGAGCCTGCGTTCATCACGTGTTCATAAGCGATTGAGCTTTAATTTGTGTTAATGAGCTGCTACCGCAGATAGCATTTACTGTCCCTCAGATTTTTTTACTGAGGATGGTTTTCCTGAAACCAGGTCTGCATAACCGACGTCACTTCTTTAGAAGTTCGTCTTCAATCCCTTGCAGCTGCAGCCACTGATCAAGCAGGCAGAAACAGGGATCCGTGCTGCAACCCAATCAATTAATCTGCATATTTTCAGTAGAACGCGTTTGCCAAAATATTTGTGCAATAAACAGATTTTTGTTTTACTTCAACAAAATTAATAAGATATTACAAAAAATGGCGGCGGCTTGCCAACAAATTACAAATCCGCCCCTCGTAACAAGTTAGGATTGCTTGGTGGCTGCTTCCAGGGCAAGCGAGTTTCAAGTGCGTCACGAGCTGCCGGTAGCTCACGAGCGACGTTTTGGAGACCCCAATCTAAAACATGCAGGAAACTTGCTGGAAGCAGACTGCAGCGCCAGGCATGTCAGCTCATTTTTTCTAAGTCTAACAGGTGGTGGCCTGCCACTCTGAAGTTGCAATTGCAATATTCTGGCCACAGAGCGCAGTGAGAGTCTGAATGACATTTTATTAATCCTGTAAAGGGTCATTATCATGGACGTAATTTTCACTTTAGAAGTGGGGGGGACACTGGGGGGGGGGGGGGGGGGGGGGGTATCTATACAGTATGTTCTAATGGGAAACAGGCTTCAACACAAACGGTTGTTTTCTGCTTGGTCCTAGAGCTCAACCAGTGTCAATTTAATATAGCGTAATATTGTTTTTGGATGGTAAAAAGTGCAGGGGTCAAAACTTGACTTTGGAAAAAGTGGGGGAGGGACATGTCCCCCCTGTCCCCCCCCCCCCCCCAAAATTACATCCATGGTCATTATAGCACATGCTTGCTCAAGAAAATTACGTAAAAATGTGAAAATGATTAGCACAGTATCCCTTTAAAAACTGTCTCCTTGGGTTAGTGAGATGTGCCCTCAGTTCAGTGATCCATCCCATAGAGTTAGCCATCTGTTTAAAGGGATACTTTGCAACTTTGTCATGTTTAGTCTCCCTTTAATAATCTCAGCACACAGTTTCTTACACTGATCCACTGAATTGCAAAATTTAGGAATTTAATAATCAGTCCAAGATAATTAATTACTAACGAGAAAACAGATAGGATATATTTTTCTTGACGTTCAGGCCTGATAAGTTGATATAACTCAAATGTTTTGGTGAAACTGATTACATCAAAATTTTAATTAATCAAATAGTTGAAAAAACACTTTACTTAGTTGCTTTAGATTAATATTTTTGAGCAAAACAATATATATATATATATATATATATATATATATATATATATATATATATATATATATATATATATATATAGTGAAGTACATATGTGTTTCTGGGTATTCTCTACTTGGCATTTTTAGTTTATTACACTAATCTAAATGTAGCACTGAATCCAAGTTCAGACTGATGAAAACAACTCATATTTAAGATAAATGACATCTCAATAGTGCCACTGGCAATATTTGATCATATACTGTGTCTACCTTTGCTCTCAAAGGTTTAAAATAACAAGAGCTGAAACCTTTAAAGTTTAATTGTTGTTTCAGTAGCTCAGGAGGTAGAGCGGGTCGTCCAGTACTCGTGAGGTTGTAGGTTCAATCCCAGCTCCCATCAGAGAACGCTGTTGTTGTGTCCCCGGACAAGAACCTTACACCACCTTGCCTGCTGCTGATGGTGGTCGGAGAAACCAGTGGCATCAGTGTTCAGCAGTCTGACTTCCATCCGTATGCTCCAGAGCAGCTGTGGCTACACTGCAGCTCATCATCACCAGCGTGTGAATGACTGATTGTGTTGTGAAGGGCCTTGGGGGGTTGTTGAACCCCAAGAAGGTGATATACAAATACAGGTCATTTACCATTTATCGTTTCTGGGTCTAACTGAATCAAAACTTCAAGCAGAACAAAGTTTATCACCCTGTGATTTAGTGTGTGTTTTATACTTTTATATATATGAAATCTTTTACATACATTTAGAAAATGTCTTTCCTCTGGTCAATTCAAAGGCCAAATTAGCCAAGAAGAAGACACCATTTGGAGTTAAGGAGGAAAATGAATCTCTAACCTGAAGCCATGTAATTAATGAACCCCTGTTACAAAAAATAAATGAATGAAACCACCAAAGAACTGCAGCTTTGCATCAGTGGGTCACACAGTTTAACTCCTAGCTGCTCTGTGGGGCAGGAATCACACGGTTGCTGTAATAATTCATTCCTAAACAGTGTCGGTCTCTACTTTTAACTGAACAGCAGGCAACAAGGAACACATTAGAGTCATAGCTGACTCCATAAGTTTTGCCAGTAGTGTGACTTAGCAACCATGTGAGCAACAAGCTGGGGAAACATGTACTCTGATTACACCGCTACTTTGATTTGTTTTGTGCCTCCTCTACAGGTCTTGTGTGGATCTAGAGGATGAGGGTTCCGAGCCTGGAGGAGTTGGTGCCAGACGTATCAGTCGAGCTCCGTCCTCCTCAGCACTGTCTGAGCTATTGGACGGGCTTCGTAAACGCAGAGCTGGTGCTGATGCAGGAGACGAGGCTGGCAGTGCTGTATCTCTGCCAATTTACCAAACCACTGGAGCTGCAGCCCTCAGACGAAGAGCCTCAGCCCTGTCTCTCAGCCCAGAGGATTCCCAGGAGCCCCGTCCTGGTCCAAGTATCCTGAAACCATCGTCCCCCCTCATGCCGCGTGCTGCCAGTTCTCAGTCCATCACAGAATCCCAGGTGTCTCTACCTGGAGCCAAGGTCTCTCGCTTCAACTCCAGCAATTCTCTATCTTCTCTCCCATCTCTCCCACACCTGTCCTCCATGGCATCCACTTTTGTCGCTCGCCACCCTCCTCCTTCCCTGTCCATCCCAGAGGAGGACCCAGATGAATCCCCTCATTTAGCAGCGACTCCCATCCAGCGCTCCCCACAGGCTCTGAGACGATGCATGCTGGGCGGTCTTGCAACAGCAGATGGAGGTGAAGGTGTTCTGGGTTCAGAATCACTAGTGTTTCAGAGCCGTCGCCTGACGGGTGACCGTGAGGATGCAGCTTCTGACATCTTGCCTGCCATTCGGAGAGCTCAGTCCACTAGCAGCCTGGCCAGTTCAGTCAGAGGAGGTCGGAGGGCACTTAGCGTCCACTTCGGAGAGCTTCCACCTTCAACCCGCAGCAGAAAAGGCTCTGAAAGCGAGTCTTCCAGCTCAGGTGCATCAGACGGAAGCTCCCAAGGCAGCGGGACTAGACGCCGGTTTGAGAGGCCACAGGGGGAAAGATTGGAGGCAGAGGGAAGTGAAGGGGGAGATGTGGCCTATGTTATGAAGAAATACCTGAAAAAGGAGATTGACTGAAGCAGAAGAGGTGAGAGGTCAGAACTGTGTTTCCAGATTAGAATTTCATGAAAGAGAAATCCCAAATTAACTTTTGTCAATGAATGTAACATGAAGCAACAGCATCAGGAAAGGGGAATGAGTTGGTGTGAAGAAATTACTATCATGCTGATCAAGGGATTACTCTCAGATGCTGATCAAGGGATTATGATGTGAGAAGAAGAGAAACAGTAAGGATTACAATTTAGATGCAATTAGGTAAGACTTCAAAAATAGAATTATACCACTGTGGGCTGGTGCTTGGCTCAAAATCTCACTAAAAGGGAAATGTCTGCCTGCCTCAAGATGTCACAGTAACTCCATGTAGAAACTGCTTTGGTAATCAAACTGGAGAAGTTTGTTTAGAGTCGGTTTTCTGTCATGAAAAGAAAAACAATTCAAACGGGTCTGGCAGTTCAGGGTGGGCCCCGCCTCGGTCCCAGCATGAACGCCCCACGACCTTGAGGTCATAGAGGGTGACTGGTTTAACAATCAAATGAATGGTTAAATGTATACTTTTGCTTATATGACACAAATTATTCCAGACCATTAAAGTGAAGAAACATCTAAACTGTTCTTCAGCTCATTACAAATACAATCATGAGCTTTTTTATGCAAAAACCAGAACAAAGACGAGGGGGTGGCAGTGCTTCAGACCCAGGTGTGAGTTGCAGGCTCAGACTTACGTTTGTGGCTGAACATCCTTTAACACTCCTCTTTCCTGTCATCATAACTTCTGACCAACATGTTCTTTTATATGTTTGTCTTCCATCAGCCTCTTTATGTGTCTGCGTGCAGCTGTGAGCTTCAAAGCGACTGCAGAACGCAGGATGAAGAAAATACTTCAGAAGTTTACGCAGATGGTTTTGGACTCCTCATGTCAAAAACCACTGGAAATACATTTGACGTCATTTGGAATAAGTTCTGTTTATATATAAATAAATAAAAAATAATAGATCATTTGTGGTTATTGGCTTTTCTGAATTTCTCACTTTTGCTCATTTATCAAAAATGCTTAAAGAATATGCTTTTTTTACATTGCATTTATATATAAAAAGACACATTTTATATATACAGTAGCACCTCTCAAGATTCACAATATATATATAAAAGTATTTAAAAACATTGTTAATAAATGTGGAAAATGGAGATTTTTTTTTACTTAAAAATGAGACGGAAGAAAGAAAATGAGGGAGTTATACTGGCAACATTGTTCTGCACATTTACAAAATAAATGCAGTGAAATTCAGGAGAGAAAGAAGGAGGTACAGTACTATGTAAAAGTTTTAGGCAGGTGTCAAAAAAGCTGTAAACAAAGAATGAGTTCAGAAATGTGAATTATTGCCCTTTTTGACCAACTTACAAAATACAAAGTTTCTTATATAGGAAACTTTTAGGTAACTGGCATAATGAACTGAACTCAGCTGGAATGTTCACTGTGAAGTGCCTGAAACGACTTGTCAGGATGTGGCGCTATGTAAATAAACTGAACTGAACTGAAGAGTGAGTGACCTCCGATATCCAGCCAAAGTCATTCAGAACTATCGTCAGCATAAAGCAGAACAAGAAGTCGTTGAAGTGATGGTCTGGCCCTCACATCTCATGATCATGGAGTGTGTCTGGCATTACATGAAAAGACAAAAGGATGTGAGGAAGCTTACATCCACAAAAGACCTGGGGTTAGTTCTCCAAGAAGTAACTTTTATTTATCCAGCACTCTTCACAGACACACAAAGTGCTTCACAATAGAACTAAGTAAGAAAATAAACAAAACAAGCATGAATAATATAGAATAAAACAAGTTAAATGAGTTAAAAGCAAGTTTATAAAGCCAAGCCTGAAAGAACGGAGTTGGTACAGCATTCCACATCCTCAGGGCCACAGCCCTACATTTCCATGGGACTTTTAATTGGTTTTTGGAATTCCTTCCGATCTCTGGCAGCATTTGGAAGTGTAGATCAGCAGCAGGTCAGACAGAGTGCCTGAAAGGCGTTAAAAGTTAAAGTAAGAATTTTAAAATAACTATTTAATTTATTTACAGGAAGTCAATAAAGGGAGGCCGGGCCAGGAGTAATGTGTGATAATTTATGAGCTTCACATACCAGCCTTGTGGCAGAATGAGTCATAAACAGTTACAGTTTTTAATGTTCTTTTCCTTTTGGTTTTGATCAGGGTCAAATTTATTTGTATAGCACATTTAAAACAGCTGTTGCTACTGTTACCTGTGCCAGCCCTAGGGGTAAGCACGAGGCACAGCTAGCGTAGGCTATGTTGTCAAAACCTGAGTCATCACCCCGCTTCTCCTCCAGCTTCACTGGCTGCCAGTCAACTTCAGGGTTCATTTCAAGATCCTGGTTCTGGTCTTTAGGGCCTTACATGGACAAGCACCATCTTACATTGGTGATCTTCTTAGTCCCTACACCCCCAGCAGGTCCCTGAGGTCCAGTGATCAAAGCCTACTGGTTGTGCAGCACCAGGCTAAAGACCAAAGGTGACAGATCATTTGCTGCTGTGGCCCCCAGACTCTGGAACTCTCTCCCCATGAGCCTGAGATCAGTGGACTCAGTGATCTCCTTTAAAAAGCAGCTGAAGACTCACTTGTTCAAGCTGGCTTTTGTATGACCTTCTTCACCTCTCTCTTTCTTAACATTTTTAATCACAATTGTCAATTTTTTGCTCATTTTAAATGTATTTTAACCATTTTCTAAAATTTTTTTAATATTTTTTCATTTTTTGTTTTTCTGAAACGCCTCGTGATTTTTATCTTGAGAGGCGCTATAGAAAAGATATTTTCTTCTTCTTCTTCTTCTTCTTCTTCTTCTTCTTCTTCTTCTTCTTCTTCTTCTTCTTCTTCTTCTTCTTCTGTGTCTGTGGCATAGCTTGTTCAATTCTGACATTTCACACACAATGCCTTCATACAATAGACAATAATCCATAAACTATGTAACGCAGTAAATGATAGTAAAATGAAAATCAATATGCATGGTTGAATATAACATAGGCTGTAAATAAAATACAATTCACAAAACCCAATAATAAAAGGCATCAAAATAATAAGAAAATTACACTTTTGGTCACTTCCATATCACTAATTAATTACAGCAAAAGAGCTTAATTTACTCTCTCGTGCCAAAAACACTGTTTCTCTGTTACTTCCCGTACACACAGAAGGGATGAGCTAGATCAGAGGAAATGTGCCTCCGAGTGGTGGGCTGAACAACTACCGAACACTTAACATGGCGAGCTCAATAAACTTAAATTTGAACTCTTACTTCTGCTTATATTACACACTAGAGCTGCACGACATAAGGAAAACCTACAATATTCGATAACAATGATTAATATTGCGATGACGATATTACTTGAGATAAATAAAAACTTAACTCAGAAAAAAAATATTCAAAAACTAAGAAATTAGAAAAATCATAAAAATGAGAAAAGCAAAAGATGTGAGGAAAGGGAAAAAGAAAATGAACAAAAAAAAGGTAATCAGTAGATCCCGGGAAAAGCAGAATCAGCAGAAAGAGCAAAACAAAGCTAACTCAGGTGTTTTGCTAAACATCAAATTAAGTGCCGTCTGCCTCGGGGGCGGGCATCTCCAGTCAGCTCAAATGTCTAGCAAACATTTGAGCTGACCGTGCATTGCGATATTTGTCTGTTCTTTGCTATATGCATATTGTGCATGCTGATATCGTAATAACTATATACTTACGATACATTGTGCAGCCCTATTACACACAAACATATGAAAATGCATGATTAGGACAATCATTGATAAAAGCCAGTTTCTAAAACTGGTCAACATGAATCATTTTAAATGACGCAAAAACAAAGTGAAAAGAGGAAGAATTGCTGTTACTAATTAAAAGCCAGCTCATAAAAATGTGTCTTTAACAAAGTTTTAAAATTACTCCGAGTCTGAGCAGTCCTAATATTTGCAGGAAGTCTGATTTGAAATCTAGGGCAAGAAGTTCTTTGAGCCGGGTGAACACCGTGTTCATTTTCCTGTAGTGAGAGAATCTTTGGGGTTGGGACGAGTTTTGCGTGGTGTGTTGTGTAGTATACAGGGGGTGACAAGAGGTGAGTAACACTTCACGACCAGCAACTGTGGGAGTCTAGAAACCCTCCCTTGTAGGCAGAGATCTAAGGAATCTAATCTTAGATCGTAGAGAGGAAAGTGACGTCTAAGTAGCTCAGGCAGTAATTCGAGATCCAGCTTTGAAAGCTCTGACAATGCCAGAGTCTAAGAGTACTGATATCATCAGCAGCAGGTTTTCCATTTGCTCAGGAGCACACCAGCAGCTGCAGGTACGATTAAATGAAGTGTATCACAAACCAAACCTGATAACTAAAGGTCTGACTCAGACTGTAGCTGGTGACAATATAACGTGCTGATATTGAGACGGACCTGCTGAGATCTACCAGAGCTGCATGCAGTAAGCTTGAGGCATAAACTCAGCTCAGCCTTGACTCTGGTATAACCAAAACCACATCTGTTGAACCTGAAACTGCCTATTCAGAGGTGATTTGCTTTAATACAGATGTTTGTTGACTTCGAAGATGCCTTTGATAAACTCAGCAGCAGTAGCTCAGATAGAGTAAGTTGTCCTGGCAGTGAATTCTGCTGTTGCGTCCTTAGGCAAGACACTTAAACCACCTTGCCTGCTGGTGGTGGTCAGAGGGACCGGTGGCACCAGTGCTCGGCAGCCTCACCTCTGTCGGTGTGTCCCAGAGCAGCTGTGACCACAATATAGCTCATCACCACCAGGGTGTGAATGTGTGTGTGAATCATAGTATCATAAGCGATTTCTTGGCAACAGAATTTTAACATTCGCAGACATCATACGTGAAATCCGTGGAACATAACAAACGGGATTAGAACATAGCTTTTACAGCCCCATTGACTTGCATTTAATTTATCTTACTTCCAGGGACCTGTGGTCCAGAAGTAGAGGAGTCAGCCACTTTTTCCTGGCTAATTCTCTGTAATGTAAAGTGCTTTGGAGTCCTCTGACTCTGAAAGGTGCTGTACACGTGCAGGTCATTTATTATTGTCATGTTCTGTATTTACATAACACCTTCTTAACCCCCCAAGTAACTTTACAACATTCACAACAAGAAAGAAAGAAAGAAAGAAAGAAAGAAAGAAAGAAAGAAAGAAAGAAAGAAAGAAAGAAAGAAAGAAAGAAAGAAAGAAAGAAAGAAAGAAAGAAAGAAAGAAAGAAAGAAAGAAAGAAAGAAAGAAAGAAAGAAAGAAAGAAAGAGAAAGAAAACAATCTTTTATACAGTGCGTCTGAAGATAAAAATCATGAGGCGCTTCACAAAAAAATTATAAAAATAAGTATTGTGACGGGGTGGTCCTGTCCCATGTAAACACACGTTTTTGTGTCCTCAGTATGTGGCACACCCAGGGGTGTACACTTGGATATGCCTATATTGATGTCTGAAATGAAGATCTAAATGTTTTTGTGTTTCTCTGTGTAGCAGAGTGGGGTCTGTCCTGGTTCGGTTACCAAGTGGAAGAAAAAATGGAATGTAACACTTTAATTGTGTCTATGCTTGAAATGTGGGTTTTTGTAACTGCTACCATTTGTAATTTGTGCAAAGGGAATGTTATGTTTCCATTTTATTAATGCTTTCTTGGATATGGTATAAATGGATGTGTTTTTCACTGATAAGAGGAGATGGGCGGGGTGGAAGGGCATGTAAGGAAGTAATTGCCGAACAAGAGGCAGGTGTGTGGACTGGTGTTACGTAGATATGTGTTCCCCTCTGGAGATCAGTGGGTGTTTCTCAATGTCAAGGCATCTTGCCTTGTGAGGTGATGTCTTGCAAGGCCAGACGCCTTGCTTACAAGGACACTGTCCTTCCTTGGTCGAAGAAAACGGTTAAATGGAACAAACTTGCATCACGTGACCGCGGCTTCCACGGCGGTCACGTAACGTCACATGACACGGGAG